CTACGGGCATCCATGCCACCCACAAAGAAGCCCACGGCCGACCAGCTACCATGTCATCCATACCAGCCCACGGACCACTCCCCCCGAGCTACCATCCAATTCACGAACAACGGTCCCTTCAGCTTGGCATGCCAGTGCCACCCAGCACACCCCAGGCTATCGCAATCGCGACCCACGCCACGTCCCGTCAGGCTCCCATCCAGTGCCACTCCACAGGGACAGCTGCCGCCGAGCTCCGCGATCCATGGCCACGACCATTCCCCTCCCCAGCTTGCTCGCCATCCATCGGACCGCTACTGCCGCGAGGCTACGGCCACTGCGCATCCATCCACAGCACACATCACTTGGCGCTACCATCCATCCACACACGTCCCGTCAGCTTCGCATCCATGGGTCCAGCGGAGCCACATCACTTCCCCAGCTACCTGCTCATCACCCACCACTCCCCAGGCTACTGCATCGGCATTGCCATCCAGCGCGGCACACACTCCCTGCAGCTACGCATCATCCACGAGCCCGCAGCTCCCGCAGCTTCGCATCCATGCGCACTTCGCACCCCACACTCGCCGCGCTACCATGGCCCACCGGCGCACCGCACTCCCCAGGCTTCGCATGCCATGCCAGGCTGGGCCACACACTGGCCGGGGAGCCCAGCTAGCCATCTCATCCACACGCTCCCGGACAGCTTCCATCCATCCACCCGCACACATGCCGCGAGCTACCATCGCAGTCCACACACTTCCGCACAGCTCGCATCCAATGCGCACGGCGCACAGCATCTCCCAGCTACCGGATCCGATTCCACAGCCACCAGCTCGCGCGGGGGTGGCCCTGCATTCCGGCCAGGCTTGGCCATCACGACGAACATCCCGTGGCAGCAGCTTCCAGTCCATGCGCACGCCCAGCGGGTGGGCCACTCCCCGCTACCATCGCACGCCGCACCGCACTCCACAGCCTCGCCCTCGCATGCCCCCCACGCCCACTCGCTCGCAGCTCGCCATGCCATCCACGAGCCAATGGCCCAGCGCTGGCCCGCAGGCTCTAGTCCATGCCACCCACTGGCCGCAGCAGCTTGCCATCCATGCCACCCAAACGCCACAATCCGCCAGCTTCCATCCATTCCACGGCCACGTGCCACTCCGCCAGCTCGGCCAGTCGCATCGACAGGCCATCAGTCCACTCCCCAGGCTGTCATACCGATGCCACCCACGCCAGCTCGCCCAGCTTCCGGCATCCATCCGACGGCCACGGCAACTCCCACAGCTTCACGCATCCCGAACCCACCCACGGTCCGGCGGCAGCTACGCATGCCATGCGCAGCACACTCCCCAGCTAGCATCCGATGGCCACCCAACTGACTTCGGCCAGCTCCATCCACAGAGCGCTTCCTGCCCGAGCAGCTTGGGCCATGCCATCCACGCACACCCGTGGGACACTCCGCCACTACGCATTGCCACCGCACGGGGCGGGTTTACCCGCGCACTCCCGCAGGCCTTCCATCCAATCCACCGCCACGCACCTGCCCGCAGCTTCTATCGGCCATCCAGCGGGGCGGCGCGCGCCACAAGTACCACGTCCCCAGCTCCATCCATCGCACACCACGTAGCCACTCCCCAGCTTCCATCCTGCCATCCGCGCACCCACGTCCCGGCAGCTCGCCATCCATGGCCACGAGAGCACCGACCAGGGCAAACTCCCAGCTCAACCATGCCACGGGCACGAATCAGCTGTCGCGCCAGGCTTGCCATCCATCCAGCCGCACGGGCACTCCGCCGCAGCTTCTATCGCCATCCCGCACGACCCCGTGGCCACCCACGTCGCCCGAGCTGCCCATCATGCACGCCAGCGCCAGCTCCCCGAGCTTTCCATCGGCATGTCCACCGCCACCCACAGTCCCATGCTCTCCGCATCCATGCCACGGACCACTGGACGCGCCGCGCCACGGTCCCGTCAGGCTTCCATCGCATGCCAGCGCCATCGCACGCTCGGCCCAGCTCGTATCCATCCGAGCACCCACTCGCGGCCGGCTCCTGGCCCGACGCACTTGCGCCGCAGCTTCCATGCGCCGTGGTGATCGCACCCGACGGCCACTTCCCAAGCTGTCGCATCGGCTATGTCCATCCCATGCCACGGGAGCCGACCAAACCACGTCCCGCGAGCTTCCATGGCCATTGCCATGGCGACCATCCACCATCTAACCACGCGGCGTTCGGCTTTTGGCATGCCATCCCAGCGGGGACCACCGACAGCCGCCGAGCTTCCATCCATGCGCTACCGGCCACACCCACTGCCCAGCTTCCATCCATCCATGCCAGGTCGCATCTGGGAGCAATCCAAGCGCACCGGCCGTTCGCGCGCCTGTTTGGCATCCATCCAGGCGCCAGCCCACCCCCCAGCTTTCCATGCGCATCCACCGCAGCCAGCGCCCAGCTACCATGACCATCACACAACTCCCCAGCTTCCATCCATTGTGCGCACCCCACGCCACTCCCAGTGACAGCTTCCATCCATGCCACGCCACCCACCACCAGCTAGCGCATCATCGCATCGCACGACGGCAGCCACAGCAGCTGCCGCGCAAGGCTTGCCCATGCGGCATGCGCACCGCCACCACGCCACGCAGTACCATCGCCATCCACAAGACACGTCCGCAGCTTCCATGGCGGCATGCCGACGTCCACACCAAGGCAGCTGCCTGGCGGCCATGCGGCTCCCCAGCTACCTGATGCCATGCCGACAAGAAGTGAGAGGAGCAGCGGTAGGGGTTCGGACCGAAAGCAAGCTTTCCATGCCATGGCAGCCGGTGGCCACCGCGTCCCCAGCCCTGCGCATCCATGCCACACGGCACCCACTGCCCGGCCAGTACCATCGCATCCATCACGACGCCACAGCCACGTCCCGCAGCTGTGCCATTCCATGCCACCCACCCACGGCGCCTCAAGCTACCGGATCCGATCCCGGACCAGCTCCCGGCAGCTTTCATCCATCGCACCCACACGCACCAGGGCCCGCAGGCTAACCATGCGCAGCCATCACGCACTCCCACCAGCTTCTGCATCCATGCCACGCCACCCAGCTGCGGCCAGCAGCTTCGCATGCCATGGCCACCGCACACGCAGCGGGCCCAGACAGCTAACCAATCGGCATCCCACGCACGGATCCCAGCTTCGCATGCCATGCCACGCCACCCACGAGCCCCAAGCTAGCGCCAGTCCATGCCAGCGACACTCCCGCAAGCTTCGCATCCATCCACGACCACCCAGCTCCCGCAGCTTCGCATCGCATCCACACCCGATCGCCGCGCAGGCTACCATCCATCAGCACACTGCCCCAGGCTTCCATCCATCCGCCACACGCACGCCCGGCTATCGAGCTGTCGCCCGCGGGCCGCCGGGCGCCCGGCGGCAAGCGTACGCACCATCACCCACGGCCACGCGCCGGCAGCTTACGCGCATGCCATTCCACTAGCACGTCCCGGCAGCTTCGACATCCATCCACTGACCACCAGCCACTCCCAGCTTCCATGGGCCAATCCACAGCGCACGGGCCACGGTCCGGCCAGCTAGACCCGATCCACCCACCGGCCACTGGGGGTCCCAGCAGCTTCCACGCATCCCACCACCACTCCCCCAGGCTACCCTGCCACACCCCACGGAGGCCACTGCCCGTCAGGCTCGATCCATCCACCACACGCCACGCTGCGGACGCCGGGCGCCCAGCCCAGCTTGCCATCGCATGCCACCTACCGGCACTGCCCCAGCTAGCCATCCAGCCGGCACGTGGCCGTCCCCAGCTTCCATCGCATGGCCAACCTGCCGGTCCACACACTCCGCGCAAGCTAGCCATGCGCCTAGTCCACACACCGTCGCCGCAGCTTCGCATCCATTTTGCGCGACGGCCACTTGTAGGTATTGTTATCCTACTCCCAGCAGGCATCCATCCACGGCACCGGCACGTCGCCTCCAGGCTTCCATCGCATCCACGTAGCGCACACACTCGCCGCGAGCTACGCATGCCATCGGCGAGGTCACTCGCGGCAGGCTTGCCAGCCATCGCATGCGCACGACCACGTGGGGGAGCCCCCGACGGGTCCGCGCTCCGCATCGCATCCACGGACCATCCACGTCCGCAAGCTTCCCCATCCATGCGCGACACGGCACTCGCGCGGCAGGTCAGCTGCCGCAGCAGCTCGCCAGAGCGCACGGCCGCAGGGTTCTCGCCTACGTTGCGGGAAAGACGGGGCGCGCGTGCCCCGTTTGGCGAAAACTGCCCCGTTTGAATGCGTTGCGGGCCGTTTAAATTACCCCTCCGCCGGCCGTTTCAAATTGCGGCACGCCAAACAGATAAAAGTTTGCCAGGCGCGGGAATGCGACAGTCGTCAAGGAATGTGCCGGTTGCGAGGCAGGACAGTCCGACGTTGCGGCGTGTATTTTTACGCGGTCACCAGGCATGGGCACTGCAAGACAAGTACAGCAGTTAACCTGGCGAATACAAAGTTGAAGCACTGTCAGCTGAAACTGTACAGCGCGGACGTGCGGCTATCTATATAATACTAGAGAAGCGCGGCCAAATACGGCGGTCTATGGTGTGAGGTGGCGATTTTACGCATTAATAGTCGTAGCGGTAAAAAAATACAGCGCCCGCCGCCGGACCCCCACTAAGTTTCCCCGCGCCTCACCCGCGCTACGCCTCCCCTCCCCCGCCTGTTTGAATTTCATCCTGGGGAGAACCCTGCACCCCCCAACTCCCATCCACCAATCTAACCATCCGTTCCCCCACTCCCACCCATCCACAAAAACCGCATGTTCAGAACACTATCTAGATTTCACCATTTATGGAAGCAGCTGAAAAACCTTTTGCAATGACAGCATAACGCTAACGACAAGTTAACAATGACAAGTCAACCTCACGACGTGCAAAAACACTGCGCCAAAATCTATACCCCTCCCATCACCCACCCCACCTACAGAACGCCAGCTAATCCTCTCTGCAGCCCTTACCGCTGTCACCCGGTTACTACGAAAACAGACGGACGCTGCATCGCGTTGCGACACCTACCGGCCGCACTTCCGGAAGTCTCCGGGGAATGTGTTCTCGTGGTTTGCACGGGTTTCGCGGTGCCCTGCAGGAACGGCCCTGCCGTGGGCGAGCTGGAGCTCTGTAAAACAACGCAACATCGTTAGCAACGGCTCTCGTTAGCCACACTCGTCATCGTTAGCAGCGGCTCCTCACCACACTACACGCATCACGCCAACGCACACGTACGATGGTAGTATCTGTTGTTCATCATTGCTGGTATTATTATCACGAACAAACGCCTTCCCAATACGCGTCACTCCCCGCCTAGCACAACCCGCACACAACGCCCCCCCCCTCATTACTGTACCGCACCCTATCTGCACATAAGAATCACCTACTCTACCACCGCGCCCCCTCCCGCACCCAACCTCGCTACTAACCTCTGACGACGTGGCAGCAGTGGCGCCAGTGGTGGTGGTGGCGGCGGCGGACGTCGTCGTCGTTGTCGCGGGCGGCGGCGGCGACTGCGTGGCCAGCTTGGAGAGTATGTTTCGCTCGGACATGTGCAGCCGCTGCGTGACAGGCTGCACCTTGGCGAGAGTCGCCGGCAGCTTCTGCGCGTCGTTCTTGATGTCGCTCAACAGGTCCTCGAGCTGGTTGAGCACTGCAGCAGACACACCGCAAATATACGTACATGTAATATATACATATATACAGGGCTCGAATTAACCGACGGCACCGACGGCAATTGCCGTCGGTGCCCCTATCAATTGCCGTACTGCCCCTGAAAATCCAACCCAGTTCTCTGCGTATATATGTATACATGTATATATTACTGTGTACGTACAGTTTGCAGTCTCTGCGTATATACAGACCTGCCAACTGTTACGTATTGCCCGTAATTTGTTACGGACGCGAATCAAATTACGGTGTTACGGACGACCTCGAAAAATTACGGACAGCAAGAATCTCTGAAATTTATATTTTTTAATGCAAAAAAAAAAGAAATAAACACAGTGTAAAATCAACTATTATCATGCTAACATGACTACTGGTCTGTAGATTTAGACTAATAGCTCTTAAAACGTAACGTACTCACTGAAAATGGTAAATTTATGTGTGTTATGCCGCTCGTCTGTCTGGTTTATGGGCGCAGCCATTTTGAATGACGTCACGGATCCAGGAAAGTAGTACCGCACTGAAGGCTATTTCAGCAATCACCCTGAGAGTAAAATTAAATCACGGTGTTACTACAAATGCCTATTTGTTACGGAAAAATCCAATCATTATTACTGATGATCATCAATGGGGTTGGCAGGTTCTGTATATATGTATACATGTATATATTACATGTACGTTATTTGCAGTCTCTGCCGTATTATGTATACATGATATATATTAACGTGTACGTACATTGCAGTGTTATGCGTATATATTTATACATGTATATATTACATGTACGTATATTTGCAGTCTCTGCGTATATATGTATACATGTATATATTACGTGTACGTACATTTGCAGTGTATGCGTATATATTTATACATGTATATATTACGTGTACGTATATTTGCGGTGTCTGCGTATATATGTATACATGTATATATTACGTGTACGTACATTTGCAGTGTATGCGTATATATGTATACGTGTATATATTACGTGTACGTAATATTTGCGCGTGTCTGCGTATATATATATTTATGCAGGGCTCGAATTAAGCGACGAGAAGGGCAAGGCAATTTTTTAGGGCACGTGAGAAATCGCCTTGAATTTTCTCTAAAATGGAAGGGCACAGAGGCAATTTTAAAAGGCACCAAGGCAACTCTCAAAATGAGAAGGGCACCAAGGCACTTTTGTAAATAAAGGAAACTCATAACAAATTAGTACATCAACATCGTCTTGCTTTTAATGTACAAAACAATAAT